CAAAATTCTTGACCTAGCTTCTCTGATGCCCAGCTCTGGCAATTCTGGGGGCCTCTTTAATACACGGCTAGAGTACAAGTTTTTCTGTATCATGGAATGGAATTTCTGGTTGATGGGTAACCTTCCAAGTGTTAGATATGGGCAGGTAGCTATCCAAAGGGTTTGCACTAAGTCATTTCTTCCAACAGTGTGTAAGAGTTCTTATGCTATATCCATCCTTGCAAACTCTTGAAGTGTTTAAGACTTTAACTTTTTACCAATGCAATGGATATGTAATAGTATTCCACTTTTCAAATTTGAATTTTTTAAATAATTGCAATGTCATACATGTTTTCATCTGTTTATTGACCATTCTGATTTCCTCTTCTGTGAATCGCCCATACATATCCTTCGCATATTTATCTATCACGTGGGTTGGCTATCTTTTTCTGTAAAGGGCCAAAATAATATTTTAGGACATATGGGCCAACATGCAATTGTCCTCAACTTTTTTAACTGTTCTTGCCAAAAGGCTAATAGTCTTTTTACATATTATTCTTTGCTCATGGGCTGTACACAAAAAGGCAACAAGCTGGATTTGGTTCACAGCATGTTTACCAACCCTCAATCTAATGGGTGGTTTATATCTTATTAAATTTTAGGATTTCTTGATATAATCTGGGTTCAAATCCTTCATCAGGTATATAGATTGCAAATACTTTATATCTTAATATCTCTTTTACTGAGACCTTAGTGTTCTCACTTATCATTATAGATTACATTTTTAAATAATTTTGACAATTTTATATGTTTTCAGGGTTGTTCTTACATTTATCCAACTTTACGTTTTTAAAAATTTTAATGTATTATTTATATTTATTATTGTGGAGTCACCACCATATGATCTTTTATGCAAGATTTATTTTATTTAATATTACATAGAAACATTAGCTGCTTTTAGCTTAGAAGTATCTGATGTGAGTTTTTCACTTCCAACTCTTCTAGTACTGTTTTACAAGCATCCTGTCTAAAAGTTTATAAATTTGTGATCCAATCCGAGCATCTCTCTCCTTGAATTAGAAATTATAGTGTGTTTTTTGTGATTTATATTTATTTTGCTTACCAGTATATTTGATTGATTTCCTCCTCCATAAAATAGAGACAATAAAATATAACTCACAGTTGCGAGGATTAAATGAGTTAATCTGTCAGATATTTTTAAGAAATCCCTGACAGATATTAAATTTTAAATATTTGTGAGCCACTGATTCTGATAGTCTCCCTTAAAAAATATCATTAGGGAATCATGATGGAAAATTATTGTTTTTAACTAAATTTCTGTAGATAGTCTTGTAAAAAATTTCTAACAGAGCTGTTAATAGATATGAAGCTTGCCAGTCCTTAAATTTGTTGTAGAGTTAAATATTATTACTAATAAAATTGTTCTATAATATTATTGAATAGAAGTACCATTGGATCTGTTTTTTAAAATGTAATTTGCAAAATACACTGATGTAATGAGCACATGTTTAAAATGTTATTTATCAGTCGAATAACTTTCTTTCAGAGGAAAGTATACTCCAAAATTTTGATAATTGGGCAAAAATAAAAAGCTGTGTAACTAACTTTCCAGCTATATGAAAAATACAGGTAGACTGAGCAGAGTAAGCAGAGTACGGGGCTGGTGAAACTATCAGTGTGTATTTGTATAGAAATAACACATAACAACACAAGTCATTTCATCATTTACTCGACACTTCACCCTGGCAACAAAGGCAAGACAAGACCCAGCTGCCAGGACCTACACACCTTAAGCCACATACTGACTTCATAGGTCTTTTCTTTTCATAAGCTTTAACCCAAATATATTTCTACCGCCAAGTCTTCTGAAATTAGAAGCTGATACTTATTGTATTAATTGTTATTTAAGATATTGTATGATAGGGGTGGTATAAATATAGGGCTCAGGGCCTATAATCTCTTTGGAATCATTGTGCATTGGTCTCTGCAGTAATCAGGTGCAGACTAGAATCACATGGTGAGCTGGATTCAGGTTCAATACAATGGTGGACAGTGAATGATGGGGGGGTTGAGGCTGGACAATGAACAACAGTAGATTTCAATAGAAAGTTTAGACACTAATAATATTTCACAATGTATCAGAGCCAGCCTTGCCAACAATTGTTTCTTGAGCTAATGACAAAATTTTCAATTTTATAACAATAACACTAAAAGACTAAAAGCTAAGTATTCGTTGGCAACCATCTACTATACATTGAAGCATAAAATGCTTCAATTCATTAACAGACCAGCTTTATTATTCTTTTTAAGAAGCTCATATTACACATTTTCCTTATAAAGTAAAAGGCATTACTGCAGCTCAAGTTATAAAACTTCAGGAGGTAATTATTTTTCTTGTTTTCTCCCCCCATGCCAGATTTAACATGTGATATTACAGGTTTTACAAAAAGTAAGTCTTATTCCCACTATCACTGAACAAAATTTCTAAACATTTTGAAAATTGTTAAGTAAAAGTCATTTTTAATGTCACAAATGACTATAGTTTAGCAAATCTAAGCAAGTATATAATTTTATGTTTCTTTTAAATATAACTTTTATTCTTCTGAAGAATAATAATTAGTAATTAGATGCTTTTAGAGATTTTCTGGATGAAAGAACAAAGTTTCCTAGTTAAGGCTTACCATAAAAAATACAGTAGTTATGCCCTGGGTAGTTTGGCTCAGCGGTTAGAGTGTTGGCTTGTGGACTGAAGAGTCAGGGGTTCGATTCCCGGCCTTAGTTGGGGTCATTTGGGAGGTAACTAGTTGATGTATCTCTCTCACATCGATGTTTCAATCTCTCTCTCTCCCTCCCCAACCCCATCTAAAAATCGATAAAAAATATTCTTGGGTGAGGACTAACAACAACAACAAAAATACAGTAGTAGTATAAACTAAATAAAAGAGACTAAGATATTTTTTAAAAATCGGACAGAATTTGAGTCAGATACTATGATTTTTAGTCTTAGATAGCAAAAATCCAGCCAATATAGGCATGGAACATTTGGGGACTTTGAAAATACAATTGCTGTTTCTCATTTATTTCTTTAAAAATGTTGTTTTATTCAGGTACATTAGGCATGGTAATAAACTAGATTAATGACTTTTGAAAATAACAAAATCATATGAAGTAGGAACAGTTTGTTGTTGTTGTTGTGTTCTGTGTAAAGGATGTATAGGAGTAAGATCTGTGGCAAATAGAATAACCAACATACTAATGTAGGGGTTGAAAATAATTTACAAAATTAATTTAATAAAATGTCTAGAACAGTAACTAACAATTATTACAAAACAATGAAGGTGTCTGTATTCATACTTAACACATTTAAGCCAAAGTTGAATTAATAGAAAAATAGTATGCAGTGAACTGATTGACATAACATACAATAAAAATTAATGTCCACAATGAAGACCTAAGTTATGACAACATCTCCATATGCTTTCTAAGTAACTTTTTACTTGAACTTCTCGGTTGTATTGAAGCAGCACATTGTAGCCTAATGTCAACTGGAATATCCAGAATGTTTCTTAAAGTGGAACACTACATTTCCCTACCACAGAAGATCAAATAATTTAATTTATCCTTTAGAACAAAGGCCCATGGTTACTAACTTTGAACTATAGTTTTTTGTTTTGTTTTTTTAATTACTAGTACTAACTGTGGTCCTTCAAGCTATCTACAGTTGATACTTGAATTGCCATGCTGTTTCTGAAAGGAACCATAGGTTTATCCTGAAAGTTTTACTGTAATTTTCCCCTAAAATTGACTCAATGTGGAAAAGTTTCATCATAAAAACATCTACTATTTATATATGTCAAGATTGATTCTACTACATCCTGTAGGACAAGCACAGATTTTTATATCAGACAAGCTGGGTTTCAACATCTGACTTCACACTGTGACCCTGGGAATGTTACGTACGCTCTGAGCCTCGGTTTCTGCACCACAAAGCGAGAACATCCCGCAGAGCTCACAGGGGCGCATCAGGGTGAGAGGAGCTGGTGCAGGTGCCCGGTTCCAGGCGAGGCAAGTGCCGAGCACTAGGGGTCAGTGTTGTTCTCTTTCCCATTCCTGATGAATTTGGGCTAATTAGAGATTAGTGAAAAAATATAGAAGTTACTGGAATAAATCAGCTCCACTAAAATCTCATTATATTGCAGGCAATAGTTACACATTTCCAAAGTAACATTCAGTAAGATCAAAAGATTGGTTTTAAAAATGTATTTACATATTATAATTCATATACAAGGAAAGAGTCTTCAGGGCAACAGTAACAAAACACAAATAAGCTATATCTGTGTGTATAGTTTAATTTTGTAAAAATGAAGAAAAATACCCAATTTTATTAAATGTTGAATGTTCATGGACAGCTAACAGAAACAAAGCTACTTCACAGAGCAATCAACAGCAACATAAAAAAATATCAAAATAGAGTTTCTCTGAAGAGCCACTTTTTAAATGGGTCAATAATAATGAGAAGTTCCCATTATTTGTCCATGAAACCTCCTAAGAAAGGTGCGACTCCAAACAGGATTCTAGTAGAACTTGGCACATAAATTTTAACTTTTGAAAACACCCACTACTTTTCACCTTCTTATAGCTTCACGCACTCAGACGAGCTCACATATACATACATTAATATTAAAAACACACATGGCTTTAAAGCAGAAAATCATTTTCTATAACAAAAACAGGTCAACTTATTTATACCCAATGTTCTGTCACAGAAATGGATTTTCCTTAGAGCTGCTAATTAACATACACTATTATGTTCAATATTTCAAAAGATGTGTTTCTAGAAGGATCTGTTTGATCATGTGCAAGAATTCTAAGGCATTATAAGTAGTTGTTCCACAGGACAAGTGCCGCCCTTGCAATGATATACTCTTGATACATTGAACAAGTCTTCAGTCTTCCATTGCCACCAGCCAGACATAGGGAGACATTCATAGTCTACAGGTGGTTGGCTCAAAGGTAAAAAACTTTGTTTAAAAAAAATGTTTATGGAATAGCACCATAGAAGGTCTTTCAGAAACAAATCCTTTTTCCAACATTGTATTTTTTTTTTTAAGTGAATCCCAGGAAGAAAAAAAGAGAGAGAGAGGGATCTTTCAATTCTTACAAGGCCTACTTCTGCTTCATTTCATTTTTTTAAATACATTAACCATGACAACATCAACAATAACAACTACAACAGATCAACAACAAAAGAAAGACAATAGCAGCAGTGGTAACTTGAGTATGAACTATCCAGACAGTCATTTCGAAGAATCCTGTTCACACTTGTTAGGAGTTTTCTCGTGAAGTACATAAGATCACAAGGCGTCTTGGATTTGGTGTGAAAAGGCAGCACTTTCGATGAAAGAACTGAGTCTACCGACCAACTGGGCACTTTCCAGCACTTAAATAAATGACGTCTAGAGTTTAATCGCAATGACAGAAACTACTGACATTTCCAACTTGTCAAAATATCAGTAAAATAAAGTGGTCTCAGGATGATCTGTGTTTCAAAGAGGTTAATCTGGCCTGCAAGTGAAAATAATGAAGCTGAAATATTCCAGTTTCCAAACACTGGACACACCTACACATAAAGTCCAAATCATTCTCTAAAGACTCCCATTTCACAACATCTTACATGGATCTGGTTTGCACTGTGTCCAAGATACAAAGCCAAAGCAATTATCCTAAGAAACAAGGAGAGGGTGTTCCAGTTTATGACCTGCAAGATTGTTTCATTTCTCCCAAATCTTGCAAAATTGTCAAAAAGCACACTCTGCAGGGCCACAGACCCTGAACTTAATTGAATTGGGAGGCGTCTGTGTCAAGCCATGAACAAAAGCATGTGGATTTGTCCTTGAAGCACGGGATGCCCTTCCACCAGCTGTATTTATACCGTCAAGCATGGAGCTCAATCCCGGTGATGCTGATCAGGGTTCGCTGGAAATGTCTCTTTCCGTGCAGAGATAATTCTGGTGATGCAGTTTTCTTCTGTTCAAATTCATTATATAAAATAGTTGAGCTAATATCTTCATTTAAAAAAAAAAACCCACTATGTCTTCTCTCCATTACGGATATCATTTTCTGAAGGAGCTTTTGGTATTAGTTATTATTTGGTATGCGTGGTATCTGGATATCTAATGCTTTTGTATCTTATATGGAATCCTTTCTTGTTGATTGTGTCATCGGTGTGAAAATGAATCAAAACTGCATCCGTAATTGAATAGATCTCTTCTGGTGGCTGAAGAAAGAACAAACAAACAAATAAGCAAGAGAATGAGTCACTTTTTTTTTAAATGTAATTCATGCTTGGGATTTTTTTTTTTTTTTTTTTGGTATAGAATTTAATCCTAAAATCTTGAAAAGTGGATATGAGCGATTTCTTCATTTTATAGATGAGAAAACTTAAGTTTCAGAGAAGCAAATGACATACTCAAGATCACACAGCTAGTCAGTGATGCAACTGGGCTTTGAACATAAAAGTTTGTTTCTAAGTTCTGGAACTTGGTGTTTTTTCCCCAAATTTTAAAGCCAAGTTCTTTTTTTTTTTTTTTTTTACAAATAAAGTGAGGTTTAGAGAGGGTAAAGAAACATTAAACTTGTTTCAGGAGCTACTCTGAGGCAGAGTCACTTCCAGAATCCAAACTGTCCATTCCTTCTTGTTTTAATCTAAGTGCTAAGAAGGTTTTTTGTTTCATTTCAGTTGCTACTTGGACAGGAGTTTAATAGCATTATTTAAGCATAGATATTAGGACTAATATCTTCAAAACAAACTATATATTCAGAAGACCATTTGATATTAATGCAGTGAATTCTGGAAAAGATGGCATTGAGAAAACCTTAAGTTTTTCTTTTGATTTCTCTTGGTGACACCCTCCGACCTGTGTCTGGCATTCTGTCCTGCGCACAGGTGACACCCTGTGGCTGAGCAACGTCAGGCCGAGCCTGCCCACCAGTGGTGGACCACGCCACTCCCACCCCGTGTATTTGCTGAAGAGAGAATGTAGTCTGGAAGGTGTGCATATTCTTCCATGCTTTAATTTAGGAAGCTGACACCACTGTCAGATGCGTGTGTTTAAGTATATTCCATTTACATTATTAAAAACGTCAATATTTAATGAGCTATAAAACCATGAATATAAAATTTAGAATGTGGACAATAACAACAAATTATAACTACTGAATTCATCTGTCTCATATTATAGTGCATCAAGCCATTAATATGATGTAGCTTTTTTTTTTTTTTGGTAAAAACACTGCTCTTTTGTATATGTTACAAATGTCAGCCATGAATCAATAGGGAATTTTTCTCAGGCTATGGTGTCCTGTTGGTGCCGTATTTACCCCTGATCCACAGAATCGACCAAGCCCCACTGCTGTTGAGTCGAGACCCCCGAAGAGCTCAACGTAGTCATAGCCACAGTCCGCCTCCTCTTCCACCTCAAACATCGGGAAGGATAACTCGAGCCGAGAGCCCCGTTCTGACACTAACAGCCATTCGCAGTCGACCTGTGCTGGGTAGTTGTTGTCCCCGAACTGAGCGTGTGAGTACAGGTCTCGGGGCTTCCACTCTGCTTTCAGTCGGCCACCGCACTCTGCCGGGGAGCAAAGGAAGCAAGTAAGTGCAATGAGCTTTAACAGGTCCAGTTCGATGTCAGTGGGGTTGAACCATCCTCTAACTTCTAAATTCATGTCTATCTGAAAGTGACAGAAGGCATTATTATTCAATTTTGTTGAAAATTTCAAGAAAATGGTGTAGTTGGGAAGTAGATGACTTAAAATATTTCAAAAAGTTCTTGTTTTCGTTTGTTTCAGTACACAATTACATGCTTGTGAATCAGCCCAATGATCCTAGGGAGCCTAAGAATCCTATGGGTTCCTGTGGATAGCTCAGAATAATAAATCTGGAATTGATTTTCCAACCATGAAAAAAAAGAGAGACTTTAGTCTACTGGACAAATTTTTAAAGGACGAACATTTGACTATTATATGCAGATGGTATTGTTTTTTTATATGCCCTGAGAGAAATTCCATGAGCAGAAAATAATAGGCATCATGAGGGCACTTATGAGTGCTTTTGAAATATGTTTAATATATTATTTAACACGGTCCCTCCCTTTAAAAGAAGATTTTTAAACAGAGTAAACACATTTCTTGCAAATATCCCCCTCTGTTTACCAAGTCAGAAAAATATAAACAGAGTAGTCCAATATGTCAGCAATACCATTTTTAAATGGCCTGTTTGAAAACACTTTGCAAGCTGCCAGAGCATCTTCTACAGAATTCTGGGAAGTGAAAAATGAAGTTCAATAAGAAAGGTGAAAAGAAGGGAAGAGAAGCCCAGGGGTGGCCTTCACTTTCATTTGGAAAGACAAGCTTGTTTATTTCCTGGTAAAATATTAAATTCCAGAAGAGGTCCTGTAATTTGACCTATCCATGCTTTTAGTGGGCATTCTAATTTAATTGAGCTAGATCAAAATAATTTCCTTTCTAAGGAGCATAATAATGTATCATTTGATGTTTAAATGGCATTGACAAATAGTGTGGTGATGGGTGCTATAGAAAAGTCCTACCAGACTATGCCATGTTTTAAAATAGTACTTTCCACATTTCTCCTTTTTATTCTGTATTATAGCTGTATCCTATGAGTAAATACACAGGATTTTTTTCTTTTTATCCTCACCCGAGAATATTTTTCCATTTTTTTTTTGTTCAGATAGAGTGGGAGGGAGAGAGAGGAAGAGAGAGAGAGAGAAACATCATTGTGAAAGGGACACATCGAGTGGCTGCCACCTGCACGACCAACCAGGGCCGGGGACAAACTGCAACCGAGGTATGTGCCCTTAGTGGGAATCGAACCCCGGTCTCTCTGGACCGCATGCCGATGCTCTAACCGCAGGGCCAAACTGACCAGGGCAGGATTATTTTTATTGGAAAGATTTATTTGCTACAACTAGTTTATTTAAAACTGTAACAATACCATTCACTACTTGATTAAAATAAATTTGGACATGCAAGAAAGCAAATCTACACAAGATTCTCCAAAGAAACCCACTCCCCATGGATTCGAACAGTATGGTTTGAGGAAAAGCAGCTATAAAGCTGCATTAAAGCATTATTCCCAATCACCTAGTTTCAGACTTCATAATGTTAGAAGCTTTTCTTCTTGATAAAATTAAAATTGTATATAGAAATATAAATTTAGGGAAGCAAATTAAAACACATACTTCAGGGCCCATTGATGATAGCCACATGTATTCTCTAGACAGCAGTAAATAACATGTAAGTGCTTTATAAAATGTAACAAAAAAAGTGGACAGATGTAGTATTGGATTGGCTATTTTGTTAGTAGAAACCGACTGATAATCAGAAGTTCAGAAACATCTGAAAATCAGTTTAACTTATCAGGCAAGAATTAACAGACAAGAATTTCTTCTATTTTTCTAAATATCCTCTTGAATTCCTAATTTTCCTTCATAAATTACAACACTTTACAGTGTGTGTCCAAAGCTTGTGGTAAATAAATATTTGATAAAAAACTACAGAATAAAAAAACTTGTTAAAAAGAAGCTTTGGGGAGAAATACATACTAGGCAGTACATAAGAATATGTCATAAAATATGGTCACTTGAAAGTAGCAATATAAAATAAATCTACCCAGAAAATTCCAAGAAAGGTGGTTAAGTGAAGGCAAAATTTATACATGAAGAAAAAAGAAGACCACATACAAAATTTTGACAAGAGCACATGAGAAAAAGCTGGGAAGCCAAGATTAATTCCAACTGCTATTTTTTGTGTTATGTGGCTGTCATTTAAGTTTTAGTCTCAGAATTCTCATTTCTGAGATGACAGTGCTAGATTAGATGATATCCCAGGCACATTTTGCTTAACAAAATGAGATTGAGGTTGTTCACGTGGGTATTTGAATGGATGTGAACCGCATAGGCAAATAAAGTAAGATTAATCAGTTAGATTTTTTTGGACAGAGGATTTGTTTAAAACTTACATAAGGAAGCATTCAATCTCTACCTATTGCTTCAAGTAACAGTGGTCCATTTTCATAATGATTTCCTTTCTAATCCAAAACGTGTACATTAGGAGAAAATAAACTACAGTATAAGTACATAAACTTTGGAGATAGAATTAGGATAAAATCCAGGCTTTGATATAATTTTAGAAATCTTGGAAAATTAAAAACTTCTGCAGATTTTCAATTTCTTCATCTGAAAAATAAAAATAATATCTACATCATATAGCTCTTTTGAGCATTCAATGTTTATAAAGTATATGTTTGTGTCTAAAATGGTGGGCACTAGACTTATGGGAGGTATCATTTTGTAAGTTATGTAAATGTCTAACCACTATGCTAGACACTTGAAATTAATATAATATTGAATATCAACTTTGATTAAAATTTTCAAAAAAAAAAAAAAGAATTAGATACTACCAGTGGATTCTTAATGGTAATATAAACACTGCACTCCACAAGCAGTTATCAGGCAAAGTACGGAGTCATGGTGTTATAGCTGTAAGAAACCTTATAATTATTATTTTACATATGAAGAAACTGAGATGCAAAGAAATGATCTTTGCCCAAGTTCCCGGATAGGTGATGGCAGGGTTGGACCAAATCCTGGAAGCAATGACACATGGAACATAATATAATCTTTACCTTCCATTCACAAAGAGTAAAAAGAGAAGTTTTCTCTACTAAAGAAAAATTTCATCACGTTAAAAGGGGGGATTTATACTTTGATAATTGAAAAATTCTATATCATCAGCTATTTTGAAAGTTTTGACAGCTGGTCTTCACACTGCATTCTTGGAACCAGTGACAGCCAGAATATTACACCTATACATGCCGTGAGCTCTGTAGTGCCAGAAAAATACTGACAGAGTAATGGGATTCCAATTTTTTCACCCCTTCAATACATGACAAGTTATTAGAAAAATATTTAAAAATACCCTGGCCTGTTTGGCTCAGTGGCAGAGGCAACCGATCCATGTCTCTCTCTCATCAATGTTTCTCTCTCTCTCTTTCCCTTCCACTCTATCTAAAAACAAATGAAAAAATATTCTTGGGTGAGGATTAACAACAACAACAACAACAAAATATTTAAAAGTAAAAGTCAAATGTATAGAAAATTTTTCATTAGTATGAAATTTATGGTCCATGAAAGATTTTCTCAAACTAAAATATTTATATTGACAATGAAAAATTATTAATTGGTATTATTTATGAGCCCAATTCCCGACAATATCCACGTTCTCACAGACTTCAGTGTAAATCTAATGCTCATAATAAAATATACTAGAGTGAAAAATGTTGGACAATAAAATAATTAAAATTTGAATTTCTAAAACAAAGGAAAACAAATGCCATCAACATGAAACTGTGACAAAAATTACTGCACTAAAATTGTTTCATGGACACCCGGCCAGTGTGGCTCAGTGGTTGAGCATCGAACCATGTACCAAGAGGTTGCTGGTTCGACTCCTGGTCAGCGCATATGCCCAGGTTGTGTGCCTGATCCCCAGTGGGGGGCGTGCAGGAGGCGGACAATCAATGTTCTCTCTCATCGATATTTCTCTCTCTCTCTCCCTCTCCCTTCCTCTTTCTCTAGAATCAATAAAGAAAAAAAAAATTATTTCATGGATGAATATGTAGACCAGCAATTTGAAAGTGATGAATATGTAGACCAGCAATTTGAAAATTGTGTGCCACAAGAATTTTTAAAACATGCAATACCTGACTACTTAATCAGGTGCACTTACTTTTCCCCCCTAGATTGTCAAACAAACAAAAAATTTACAACAGCCAATATAATAGCTGTCCCATGTGAATGAATCAAAATTATACCTATTTTTTTTTGTCAGATTGGAAAAAATATATTTTTGGTGTGCTGAAGAATTTTAGTAATTAGTGTATGTGTGTCATGAAATAAAAAAGATTGCAAATTGCTGATGCAGACTATTTTTATACTGTTTACACAAAGAGATTTCTCAGAAGTGTCTCAATAGTTTATATGTAAGTAATGCCACTAGATGTCACTATAAGCTAAATGACTGTAGTAAACATCAGCAATTAAAGGATTTTTTTTTTTTTTTTAAAAAGGACATTTCCTAGACATTTATGGAATATATTGTTAAATTGGCTCCATGTTATAAAAATGTTATCCTACACTTTTGCCTAAGATTATCCATATTTTTCTAAATTCTATTCTATTTCTTAAATATTTATAGAACAACTGTAATCTGTAAATCATTATTAGGGATTAGATTTATGGAACTACTATATTGCATGCCAAATAAAAGTGGAAACAGATAAGCTTTTGTAAAACAGAGAGATGAATCCCAAATTTGATTTTTAAAATGTATTCATATAAGAACTAACTGAACAGGTAGGGCTCAGAGAATACACAACTTTGAATACCAAGCTATAGATTTGTATCTGGTAAATCTAACATATAAATCCAACTGTTGTTACAGTTAATATGAAATTCATTATAAAAATATTTAGAAGTAGTTCTATTTGATCATATTGCATTTGAATATGAATCAGACCAAACTAGCGGGCTTCTTCCTAAATGTTCATCCACTACAAAGCTATTTAGGTCGGATGCTGTGGATTCTCCAGTATTTCCTACAGTAATCCAGTGGGATTTCTTCTGCTGTGCCTGGAGATTCATTTATGATACTTTTATGGGATCTACTGCATTCACAGGAAGAAAAATCCGGACTTTAGTAAGAACAGAGAAGCAGGGCCCTAATTTGCTGACCTGTAGAATGTGTGGCTTGAAATCCTTTTCTTTGAACAGATGCATCAGAAACAAACCGAACAAACATTTTATTTCCAGTAGCCACTAGGGGCTCTGGGATCTTGTTGCCACAGAGTCGTCCAAGGATTGGTGATTTTTCCGTTTCTCCATCAAATACTTCCAAGTGATCATAAGCACATTCTTGATGCTGCTCTATCTCAAACTCACTAAAAGCCTGTAGAGAGAGAGGGAGAGAGAGGCGAGAGAGGATTGAGAGAGATGGATGAGAGATGGAGAGAGAGAGAGGAGGAGGACCGCGAGGGAAGGAGGGTGAGAGGAGAGGGATAGAGAGGGAGAGATGCAGGACGGAGAGGCGTGCGGAGGGAGAGGATGAGGGAGAGAAGAGGAGAGAGAGGAGGGATGAGGGCGAGGGAAGAGGGAGAGATGGAGAGAGAGAGAGAGCGGAGAGGCGAGAGAGGATGCGAGGAGCAGAGAGGGGGGAGAGGGGAGCGGAGAGGCAGAGGGCAGAGAGGGAGAGGGACTGAAGAGGTAGAGGAGAGGGACGGAAGCATCCTCGATGAGGATGAGAAGAGAGAGAGCGAGAGAGAGAGAGATGAGATGAGGAGAGAAGGGGAAGGAAGGAAGGACAGGAAGGCAAGGAGAGGAAGGAAGGAAGGAAGGAAGAAGGAAGGAAAGGAAGAGAGGAAGAGAGGGAGGAAGGAAGGAAGGGAGGAAGGAAGGAAGGGGAGGGGAGGGGAGGGGAAGGGAAGGAGGGAGGGAAGGAAAAGGAAGGAAGGAAGGAAGGAAGAAAAGAGAAAGAAAGAAGGAAAGAAAGCAAGAAAGGAAAGAAAGCAAGAAAGAAAGCAAGAAAGAAAGCAAGAAAGAAAGAAAGAAAGAAAGAAAGAAAGAAAGAAAGAAAGAAAGAAAGAAAGAAAGAAAGAAAGAGTTACTTATCATTGAAAGTGGGTTCTGGTTTTTGAAGCAGAAATCAGATCAATTAAATATGTTCAGGCCATGCAAATGATTTAATACATATAACACATTATTGAAAGAGCTGTAAAATGAATAGAATGTAAAAGCTCTAGGAAAACAAAATGAGGAGAAAATGTAATAACTCCATGTGAAATTCTGCTATTTGACTATTATAACTAATTGTACTATTGCAATAAAATCTACACCAGTATTAGACAAATTGGAATAACACAATAATATTTTATTCTAAATTTAATTCTGAATTTTTTATGAATGCAACAAAAATTTTAAACTATTATATTAAAAATTAATTCCTTCTGGTTTTGTTGCTCTACTTTAGGCACCAAAACTAAAAAAAAAAAAAAAAAAATCTGTAAAGTAATTATTATATTTTGACAAAGATTAAATGCAGTAAAGCTTAATATAATAACTGAAACAAAGGGATTTTTCAGTGTATATTTATTTAGATTTTATAACCCACATTATTAGAAAAAACCAAGGTGACTTTAGGCAAGATTTTTAAAATTTACTTTTCAGAAAGATGGTATACTTATTTTAATATTTGGAGTCCTTCAAAGTTTATTATGGGCTCCTCTTTAAAAATCATTCTTATTTACTTGTGTAGTAATTTTTATGTGCAGGTCTTCACAAATTCTTAAAATAAAAAATCATAATTGAGATGGACTGAAAATACAGTCCAAACTATTAATAATTCCAGGTTATTTGCAATGACCAGTCCAGGCTTTTTCCTTTCCCCAGAAAAACCACCATACATTCAAACAAATAAGCCATCACTACTATAGAGCAAAGCTAAAATAATAATAATAATAAATAAAATATAATAGACAAGAAAGGAAACCCGAGGGAAGATAAAATATACTTGAAAATTCATGAATTTTGCTATAATCCCTGTAGCATAAAATATTTGCACATAAACTTTTTACATATATGTTTTCTTCAATGCAATTGTGTGAAGCAATCACAATTCTCAGTTTAATTGACATACATTTTGTAATTTTCAAAGAAAAAGTGATTAAGAAGAGTTCTCCCTCGGTGCTGGCCACAGTTATCTATTACATACCACGCCTCTGTCTACTATCACTTCTGACTTTGAGGGAGTAAGAGAATAAATGAAAGAAGCAATTTATATTAATTAGGGTGTAGGAGAGAGAAATGGAAAGTGAGAAATAAAATAAAAGAAATAGGGCTAGTTTTTTGTGTCTCATTCCACTGAACTCTAATTTATAAAATGTATAAATTAAAATGTTAGAACAAATAAGCATTAGAGAATCATTATCTGTTATAATCATTATGGGTAAAAAGGAACATTCACTGAATTTGACCAAAGACACTGGATAGTGCAAAAAAAGACTATAACACAAAGAATTGCACTGGAAAAAAACAAACAAACAAAAAATGTTGCAGGAAAATATAGTGAGCAGAGTTTAATTATCCTGAAACACAATATTCCAAGTAGGTGGTAACTGAAGAAGTTTGTCATTTATTATTCTTTATAATTCTTTGGCATAGAGTGGATAGAGTCAACATGGAATATAGAAGAACCTAAATGGATGGTTGGCTGAATGTCTAGACAAGTCTATCTATTCATTTGCCTGACCACCTATCCCATGTTTATGGCTAAACCCATCAGTGGAAAGGCTTTGGAAGAGAGAGGCAGACCAAAACGGCTGATTTTCTGCCTCTCATAAGATGGTACCCAGTCAGCTTCTTTTAGCCTGTGTACACATCTACAGTCTTAATGTCAGTTTGTAACTGTTAAAAAACCAAAAAGAGAAAATTGGCTTAACTGCACCCAGATAAATTTATTAAATATGATATCAAGCTTCTGAATTATAAGATCAATATTATTTCAAGAGGAAAATAATAGTATCTGAAAATCATGCTAAGTAATTGTTTTGGAATGTGATTCAGAATAATTCATCTGTACATATAAAGAACAGAGAAACATACTGTACAGAAGAGAACACTGTAAGAGTTGGGGTTAATGGCATACTAAAGCATATACTCTAGGCAAAAGTTAAACATGGAATCAGAAATTACAGACCACATATGTTCAGTCCATTGGTTGGTCCATTGAAAACGAAGTGAATGAGATAACTAAGTGACTACTTCACTCCCTAATGAAACGCAGGACATCTGGAGTAAATCCTAACATCTGTTTTACAGAACAGAGCAACACTGCACAAAGTGGCATTGAGTGGGGGGTTGGGGGGCTGGGGGGCATACTGACACCTGGTCTGGGGCCAACTGGCTCCAGCTTTCTATCAAATTACTAATGGAATCAGACTGACTCTATAAGAATCAAATTAGGCCAAGGTTGTATAGCTGACATATTTTCAAGCAATGCAAACAACTCTCATTCATTAAGGTATTAATGAATTTTCCTCTTGGAATTGGTAGCAGCTTGTTAGGTCAATTGAAAAGATTGGGTGGTCCTTTCCCAGCAGTTGGTCTAACCCAAATGCTCCCGCCCCAAAGCACAAGCGTGACTAACTCACATGCTGGGATCTCATAAATCTGGCCCTTAATATCACTGAGACATCCACATAGTGGGACCTCCATGCATAGTAACTTTGCCTCAATACTAAATATTTCCAGGCCACAGAAAAGTATTATGGGAGCCCATGGGAAATTAGAAATCTTTAAAAATACTTTTTCAAGTTTCCAAAGATAAAGTGAGATACACAATTTATTACTTTATACTGTGACACACGCTGTGTCATGAATCTCTAAGCCAGGTCGAATGTGAACATTTCCAGCCACCAGGACCCGATGCTACAGCCGTGCCCCACAAAGACACTGAGATACCCCAGACGTCCTTCAACTTTGCAGCGAGGACAGGGCAGCTGGCAAAGCTGATGTACGGAGCTGCAAGGGACTGATTTCTGCTGGGACACTACCTTCTTTGGGCGGATTTTTAAGTATTTTTTTAAGCATTTACTCTAATACTTTACAGACATGTTGGTATTCGAACTTAAACCTTACTCATTGCATTATTATAGTCCTATGATTTTAAGCTCACTAATCTAGGTTTTAGAAAGACCAAGAGTGAAGAACTGTGAGCTCTAGTCAGGAATCTTCATGTATTTCTCACAAGACAAACGAAGAGATTAAGGAGACCCTTCAAAAGAAATAAAACTGAACTCTCATTTTAGGCTGTGGAAAGAATAACTGTGTGTTTCTGGAACACTGCAGCAAACCTAATCTACCTCGCTGGCCACCAGCCAGGCCCCTCATCTGAACATCTGTGGAGGTGCCTTACTGAAAACACAGCACTGGCTAAAGCATAAGACCACTCAGAGTCTCTACATATATTCACAAAGGACAAGATAGTAAAATGATAGTGCCTAATGCGGAAATAAAATTTAGCCAGGGTGACCATTTGAGAGAATTCAAGAGACTGATGCAAGTTGTGCAGCTGTGAAATAAGGTTCAGAGTTTCCTAGTCGAAGTCATCGTTTGCCTTTTCTTGTCTTGGGTGAGAAGTCATTCGGTTTCCCACAAGGTATTGGAAGCATTAGAGGCCACTGGAAAAAATCGCACAGTGGAATACAAACCCGTCTTCTAATAAAAAGGTCTTTCTTTTGTTTTTCCATGAGTCCTCTATAACTGCGATCAAATATACCTTTTATGGATTTATGGTAGAGAATTACATAACACTGGTGGGTGTTTTTGTTTTCTAAAAATGTCCCATGTATGAAGCTATAAATTACAACTATGTAACTTAGCAAAACTAGTCCAGTGGTTCTCAACCTTCCTAATGCTGCGACCCTATAATACAGTTCCTCATGTTGTGGTGACCCTCAACCATAAAATTATTTTCGTTGCTACATCATAACTAATTTTGCTACTGTTATGTCTTCGGCGACCTCTGTGAAAGGGTCGTTCGGCCCCCAAAGGGGTCGTGACCCACAGGTTGAGAACCGCTGCTCTAGGCTATGATACATCAAATGAAAATGACGTAAGTACATTAACCTATTGCTGTATGCTCCTTTGTCTGGAATTTTGGTTCAGTTTTGTTTTGTTTTTAATGAAGAGTAATTCAAAATAATGAAGCGGTCCCCCAAATTTAATGATCAGTTTAGTCTCTTAAAACAAAACAGGGTGAAGCCAGAAATAATAGATCTTTATTCTTACTCATTCAGAACTTTATCCTTTTTTTAGTAAGAAGAGTTTTCCAAGTATCTCTCAACTAACAATTTCTTTTACTTTGTAGCTATTATCATGCAGTATGTCATGATT